TTTTGAACTTATTTGACCCTGATGACACTGCTAAAAGTAAGTGACAATTGTATTTACCGCTGTTTATAATATTTGCTCTGCCCCCTGAGTGTTCAGAGCAAACAACATTGGGCAATACCACTTCAGGGTGACTGGGCAGCTAAGCTGTCTTGTGGGATTAGTGGGATTGATTATATACTGGGGGAGACAAAAAAAAAAAAAAAAATTCTAAATACCACAGCTGTCACCCAAAAAGAGTTACGCAGTCCTTCAAGTTGTCAAAGCTACTTAGAGGCAAGACAAGTTGATAATGCATAGACATAGCACATTTGAGCGAGAGTCACAGTAATAAACTCAGAAGTATAAAAGCTGATAGAACAAAAGATAGAATATGATATTTTTTTTTTTTCCCCCCTACCCACAAGTGTATGAAGTATCTTCAGACTCTGAATCAGCTAATTCATAACTGATCTATGAATTAGCCAATCTTCGGCTGCTCAATTAAAGCGAAAATAACATCGATCCATTCCAGGCATGAGTCTGTCTTCATTGTTTATAGAATGAGCTTGTATTTCCTCTAGAACCAGCATACCTGTGAATGTTAAACACAGCTTGGTTGTGTTATTCTAGAATAGAGAATTCATGTGGACCTTGACTGCAGTGGTCTCTTAACTTTCATTCCCATTTCCACCTGTGGCTACTGGATTCTTTGGTTACTCCCAGTACACATACATTTATTTTTCAAGGTCTGACACTCTTAATGCTCATTAGAGCTGATTGATCTCTTACAACCATCCTGCTACCCACTGTACTTTTAGAGCAAAGCTTTGCTACAAGTAGCTGAAGACATATAGAACTATTCTCAAAATCATTCAATATGTCTTGCCTCTAATGTTTTAAAGCCTTCCTATACTTCAGACTGTTCAGACTAATGGAGAAGTAATTAAAAAATACAGTATTGTTATTAAGTGTGGGCCTGGGGAGGAACAGCTGGTCAAAATTCCTGGAGTTTGTTGATCTTATGAAAGAGGTGATATGGAAAAACTGCCTGGAAGTGGAATCAGTGGCTCTTCAAATCCCTTCCAATCGTTATGTTAGCAAAGATTAATTTAGTTCTAGGTACTGCCACTGCAATGAGAAACTATTGTTATGTAAAAGAGCTCAAAGCCCTGGCCCACTGAGATGTTATATGATCTGCCCAGTTGGTTCTGAGAAGAAAAGTATGTGTGACTGCTGAGTAATATATATATATTCAGTAATAACTGAATAATATGATTTCCCCCAGCGTATGTAGCACTGAAATACAGACACAGATTTTTCCAGTAGTGCTAAAAGGGCTAAAGTTTTATTTTCTGTATTGAATGTGTATTTCAAAGCATCAGTTTGTCAAACTAGACAGATGAAAATACTTTGAGGTATGTCCTAAACCAGTGTAACTATTGCCAGAGGTCACTGAAAAGGTCCTTGAAAAGGTCCTCTGAAGCCAATGCAGAATGGGCAAGCACCCAGTGTTGGGTCTCAGCAATGTGATGCTGAAGTAGGGCCAGAAACTGATCAGAAGCAAAAAAACAATTCTTTCCAGGATACAAAATGTATTTCTTTAAGCCTGTCCTTCTGCTTAAAGTCTCTCTCCTTCACAGGTACTGTTTGACTTGGCTGAACAATAGGACCCCAGGGGCAGGTGTTGTTGCCATGTCCAGCAGCCTAGGTCTCTCGACCATGTCCAGCAGCAAGCTGGAGAGCCCGGAGCTGCAGGGACAGGCGGGAGCCCCTGGCTGGGTGAGTGCAGTCTGCCTTCCAGTGCCACACGAAGGGTGTCCAGGCAGGAGGCAGAGTGAAACCATCTGGCTCAGGAGCTTTCTTCTCTTTATTTGCTTAACTGTATCTCTTTTACGTGCTAGGACACAGCTGTCTGCTTGGCTGCAGTAACTTGCAGTGATGAGAGAAAAATCAATCACAAGCTAAAGTAGTTGTGATGAGGGCTTGGTCCGGGTTTTATGAGCCTTGGTACAACCCAAAACCCCCTTATCTAACATATGCTACCAGGGGCACTGTTCACTGAGGATGACTGTGCCTGTGTTCCCAAAAGCTGCTGGTCTTGAGCCCCTGCCAGCAACTTTTTTGCCCATTTCAGCCCAGACAGGTTGAACCCAGCCTGAGCTGAATGCAGCTTCTTCAGCTTGGATTTTCAATCTACTGCCAGAAAAAAACAACCAAACAAACAAAACCCCAAACAAAAAAACCCTCAAAAACCTGCAGAAGAACAGTGATGTGAGACAGTTAGCCTCTTCCTTCTTCCTCATAAAATTTTCTACATGATCACTTTTTGGGGAAAATACAAATAAAACCATTTTGCCCCTCATACAGGCCTTGGGAGTCTCCTGAAGTCTCAGTCTGCAAGATACTGAAGATCTATTTGTCTCCAAGATCAGGTCAACTTCTGCCTGGAAAGACACCCTGAAATAGGAATCTGACAAAAATGAGGGTTTAAATGCCTAGCCAGATCAGTTGCTATGCCAAGAATTAAAGAGGTGATCAGAAAGAATGTTATTCAACAGACAAGCACATTTACAGAAGTAACCAACTTTGAGATTAAATGACCCTGTACTGGTGGTGACTCAGGCACTTGTGTTCTGCTTTACCTCAAAGTGAAATACTTTATCAGGTAACCATTCCCTAAGCCTTGGACTTCAGGCCTGAACCTTCTTCAGGCTTCTGCAAGAGAAAATCTGAAACAGATTCTTCAGTGTTAAACTTATCATGGTTTTAAATGAACCAGATGAAACTATTTAATGTTTTACAACAGTCTCTGGTAATTTCCATTATTTATGAACACATTTCCCTGAAAACTTTCTCTCCAGGGATAGGATGTGAAATACCCGCTTAAACAATAGAGAAAAGGGACTTTCTAAACAAAATAATGAAACTGGCAATATACCAAGAACTCTGCATTAACACAGCTGAACCAAAAATACATTGGAGGTGCTTTAAAGGTCGTTTACTGTGTTGTTATGATGTAGGCAAAAAAAAAAATCCTATTTTTCCTTTTAAAGCACTGAGCTCTTCTTATTGTAAAACACGTTTTCACATATGATTTTCCAAAATAATAACCTCAAGGCATTTTCCCACAATTTCTTCAAGAAATTCTGTAATTTTATCTTTAAAAGACGGAGAATATGTTTGGCTTGTTTTGTTATGAGACAACAAAGATAAACTCATTTTTCTATTTGTAAAAGGTGCACAGTTCTAGTAGGCTTCATAAATCCAGACATCTTTACCAGAAAGTATCTCCAGCCAAGCAACAGCAGAAACAGAGTACTAATGAACTGTGAGTAACTGTTTACACAACTGTTACAATCATCCTCTCCTTGGTGACTTCAGTAAAGAGTGAAGCTGAAAGTACCAATTCAATGCTGATACGAATTACAGGTCAAGTGTAATTCTGGTTTATGTTTTATATTTGGGAAAACTAAATTAAATACAAAATGTTAAAGCAATTTTGTATTTGCAGCAAAAGTACCATCCCCAAACCACTCTTTTCCTCAATGAACCAAGTTGGTAGATAATTATGTATCTACTAAAGGATCCAAGTATGGCAGGGAGCAGTTCTGGTTTCAGAAGTAACCACTTCAAGTTGCTTGTTCTACAAAGACTTTTATGCATGTTTCCTCATGTGAGCCTTGCCACAGGCTCTTACAGAAAAAAGAAAATTATGTTGTTCATAATTTTAAAAGCAGGATACACCTCACTATTAAAAATTATTTTTTTTAAATTGCTAAAGTCATTAGGATGACTCACATGTTTTAAAGGCAGATCTATGCTTAATACTTTTGCTAATTGGGGGCCAAATTGCCTAACGCTTTGCAGGATTGAGCCTGTGTTACAGAAAGTGTAAGTCATGTGAGGTTTTTGCCAGATAAGAGTTGGTGTATTTTGTCTGGCCCGAGCCTGCATTTGCTTAGCACAGTTACGTGCAAGCAGCGTTTGTTCAGTAAATGAGAAAAGACCTGCTTGTGCTTTTTGAGCCAAAAAATGCATAAACGTTGTTAAATTTGGAACTTAGAAGTGCAAGGGTGTAACAGCAAATGGATGTGATCAGTCTGAACACTCTGACATGGAAATGCTGTTTAACCTGTGGAATAAATAGCCCAGGATGTTCATAAAACTATTCAATCAGCTGATGAACCTAAAATGAAAAGGACGTGGCAAGCATCAAGTCTGCTAGCTTGGGTAATGTATTCAGAAAACAAAAAATGTTGCAGACCACAAATCCACAAAAGATGTTTTAACAACAGACTTTGCAAAAATCTGACATGTTGAAAAAGTATTAAATCCCAATTCAGTGTTTGATAGACATATAATCTAATCATGTACACAACTTTGAAGAGAAACAATTAAACATAAGATTTTGCAGGAAGAGAAGAAGAAAAAGGTCAGAATTTATCATTAAAATGCAAAGTATGAAAACGAAAGTAAACATTTTGTTCAGAACACTCACTCTTACTAGAAATAGTGTTAGAGAAAATACTCTCAGCCAAATCATAGCAAATATGTATGTGTTTTTAAAGGAACATAGAAATCCCTCATGAAGTTCTGTAGAGATTAAAATAATGAGACAATCTGTACAGACAACGGATTTGTTCAGAAATGGAAGCTGGAAGAAGGGTAAAGTTATCATAACCTCTACCAACCACCCCATGTTGGAGGAGATCCTTCCAACTCCTTTAGGCAAGAACAGGAATGGTTGAATTCTGACCCCGACAACGTACAAGGGAGGCCCAGAACAACGACCTGTGAGTCCATTCGCTGGAGCCTGTGGAGTCACTGCAGGCCTCTCCGCTGGAATCAAAATCAGAATTTGGCAGTAAAACAAGAGTTTTCTGATGACACAGCAAAACCCAACTTCCTTGGGCTTTTTTTTAAGCTGTTTCTGAAAAAAAAAATAAAAATCAGTAATTTGTTAGAGGATGGTAAAACATGAGTGAGAAAAAGAGCAAGGGCATAAAGTTTTATGAGCGGAGATGTTTTTTGCTGACGGTACAGGTAGATACATAAGGTTAGGTATGCTGGTAAGAGATAAGCGTGTACACAGCGCCCAAGGTGAGCGCCTGGGATCACGGCGGGCAAGGAGAGAGCCGGCGGGCGAGCGGCTTCGGAAACCAGCCCGGAGCAGATACCGCCGGGCAGCTGCGGGGCAAGGGCAGGCCGGGGGGTCTGTCCGGTGGCTGCATGTGGCTGTGCCCAGCGCTGCAGCCCCGGGAACTGTCCCTGGAGCGGGGCGGGGGCACCCCCGAAGTGCAGCACCCCCGTCCCGAAGCGCTGCGGGCCCGGGGGTGGGCGAGCAGGTCTCGGCCTTGTTCCCCGTCCCATGGGAGGCCGGCATGGAGGCCAGGAACGCTGCCTCGAGAAACAGCCCCTGAGCCCCGCGGCCGCCGGTGTCACACGCGGGGAGGGGGTGAGGCGGCTGCGCGGCGGGAGGAACCGCTGCCGCCCGGGACACCTTCCCCAGGGCCGTCCTGCTCGGAC